GAGTGATTGTAGATAATTAAAAAAAAAAAAGGAAAGAAAATAAAGCAAAACTACCAATTACAAAAATAATCTACTCGATCTTCGAAATATCCCAGACTAACTAACAAGTATATAATAATAAAAATCGATGAATTTAGAAGGAGGAAATGACAAAAGATGGAATGCAAAACTTTATGGTTAATGGCACGCATGCTGCCCTGTTGGACAAACTAGGAAGCAAAACGTCTTTCGAGAAAGAAAAGACGACGGGGACATGCGGGGAGGAAGCTGACCAATGAAAAAGTGAAAAAAGACGAGAGGACTGTGAGAACAAGAACCAAAGAAGCGTATGAAAGCTGTGCAGCAAATTGCGGTGTACCTTGGTGAGCTGTAATATAATTGCTCTAGATCGAGCGTATCTGGTGATATTTTATCGTACCGTAACTTCATTTCCCTAGATATGTGGTATATTTTTTTTCTAGGAGGGGAAGGGGAGGAGGATAGAAAATTAATCATCATTCAACTCGAAACCTGATGATTTTTGGGATAAAATATTTTGGTTTCGATCTTTTAACTCTTTGCGGACGAATTAAGTCTCGTTGACGATCCTAGTGAATTTTTTTTTTTAGTCTTATAAATAAGAAGTTGTTTTCACAAAGTTGTAAAAAATTTTAGTACACTTTATTGACACGATAGAAAAATTAATATTCTCATTAATTTAGAAGCGAGAGACCCAATCCGTTTACCAAGAGTTAAAAAATTTATCTAAAACTATAAGAAAATAGAAATATAAATATTGAGCGTTCAAAAAGCGTTCGAAAATAACTCGATTCAATATCGTACTTCAATTACACGTTTACAACTTTCCAACTTCCTTTAATCTTCCTCGTTTTGATTCGACGAAATCAAAGAATCGTAGATCCCCCACATTTTTGAAATTACGACACCGAAAACATCCAATAATAATACAAAACCTTTCGTTTAAGCCGACTCTCTAACCAACAGCGTTCATTATCAACCAGGAGCAGAGTCGTAACTGCGACAATATCCCGCTTCCGTACGTTTCGCAACGATTTTAATCGAGTCGGGAGGAAAACACGGGCCGGCTTTTAAAATACAATCGAAACGACAGGGGAATCCCCCCCACCGTTACAGAGGGATACACGACAATACGTGGCAAGCCACGCTTTCCCCCTCGAATGTGTGCTCTTAATATCGCGTAACTATAATCGTTCGAGGCGACAATGCTATCGTCCTCTCCTCGTTCCACCCGATTTCTCAAAGAATTTCTCTCCTGATCGAGCACGGATTCAAGTAATTGCTTATGATTTAACAAACGAGAGTTATATTCTTTTCCACGAATCGTGTAATTCGTTATTATATGAAACACCCATATAATTGTGCAGGGAGAAAATAGATTTTTGAACTAACTGTGATGTCAGCAAGTGAGTTTCAAATAGAAATAATTTGAATGTGAAAAAGGACGAATACGTAAATATATATTAGATATCTAATAGTAGTTAGTGGCGCTAGTATCGCCGTTTTCATTAACATTTTATTATTTTTGATTCTTAAAAATGTAGAGAATTTTTATTTTTTAATTTATCATTTCGATCCTTCTCTAGTTCAGCGAACAATAATTTCAAATAGAAATAATTTGAATATGAGAAAGGACGAATACGTAAATATATATTAGATATCTAATAATAGTTAGTGGTCTGCGTGGCGCTAGTGTCGCCGTTTTCATTAACATCACGTTACATTTACAGTCTCAAATAGAAATAATTTGAATATGAGAAAAGACGAATATGTAAATATATATTAGATATAATATCTAGTAGTAGTTAATGGTCTGCGTGGCGCTAGTGTCGCCGTTTTCACTAGCATCGCATTCTATTATTTTTGATTCTCAAAAATGTAGAGAATTTTCGTTTTCTTCTCCGCGAACAGTTCTCTCGAGTTCCAACGAATATAGAATATAGAAGTTTTTTTGGGGGGAGAAAAATAAAAAAAGGAATAATTACTCTCTCGAATATTACGAAACTTTGACGCGTCTCATTTACGACGTTGAATATCTCTCTCGATCGTGGGGCACGATAATGTAATCCCATTTACGACTCAATTATCGCGCTTAACATGCGGCTTATAATAATAAATAACGCAACGTGCGTTCGTTATTTTTCGTTTCCTCACTTTCGATATTTTCAACGATATTTTCTCAATTTTCTTCTCTTTTTTTTTTTCTCTTGCTCTCGGAGAATTTTTTTCTCCCCTCGCACGAAACGAACAGTACTTACTGCGGAAGGTGTCCTGACTGACAGCGGCCTCCTGGGAGACCAAGTATTGTCTCGCCTTCTTCCCGCTATAGTCACGTATCTCCTGGTTCGCGGCTGTGAATAAGTAAGTGAAAAAAGTAAATGGGATATAGAAATATTCGGGCTCTTCCGTTTAGAAAGCGCATCTCTGTTTAAGAAAGTTTATCATTCGATATCGAACGAATAATTTTGAAGGTTTTCGTAGAATATTTAGTGTCCAAAGTTGGCAAAAGTTAATTAATAATTAAATAAGAGACATGTATATTTTTTTGGAAATGGACACTTTTTACTTGGACTCTTGGAATCCAGTCATCAATGAAAAACAATTCGATGGTTTCACTAGAGACACCGGCATCGAAAGTGTTGTTCGCTTGAAGGTATTCAGGTATTATCTAGATTTTTTCTTTTTTTTCAACATTTCATCGTACTCACCGTACACTTGGACCAACAAGTTGAAGATATTCTCATGATCGAACTGCATCGCGATGTGTAACGGCGTGTAGCCCTGGAAAATTGGATGGAATAATGGAAATTAAACGAGCCAGCAAGATTTTCCATAAGATTTTTTTTTTTTACATAAACGGGATCCACGTAACGAGGATCGAATCCTTAAATAAACGAGCTCCGCGGGAAAATGTTTCGTTCCATCGATGGCTTATCGCCTTCCCATTTTCTCTGGGATGGAACGACGATGGAGGAAGAAAGGGAAAAAGAAAAGAAAAGAAAATGGAAAAACCGACCGGTGAAGGGAAGACAATGAGGAATTAATGACATCTTATTATGAATATCACTCGGTAGCGTGCGAATCCCCCAACAATATTATCTTGCTCGCCTTCCCGTGCACGAGATTGAAACGACTCGTGTGGATAAGTTGGCGCACGCATGAATTATCTCTCAAGATCCCTCAACAAATTCGTTATTATTATATTATATCTTTCTTAAGCGTGGAATTTCTTTTTTTTTTTTTTTTTAATTTAAAATAGTAAAGAAAAGTGGAATATTTTATTTTTCTACTTGGAAAGTTGTGTATCGAGTAATATCGATGGGCAAGATTCTAGGGGAAACTAGGATGAAGCAAGTAATTAATCCTTATATTAATAATCAAGAAATGAATATAACTAATTAATCAATCTAATAATTTCGAAAAAATGTAAAACTGTGTTATAAGAAGACTTTTTTTCTAAAAGATGTGAATAATCAAAATTCTAGGGGAAACTAGGATGAAATAAGTAATTAATCCTTATATTAATAATCAAGAAATGAATATAACTAATTGATGAATCTAATAATCTCGAGAAAATGTAAAACTGTGTTATAAGAAGACTTTTTTTTTAAAAGATGTGAATAATCAAAATTCTAGGGAAAACTAGGATGAAGCAAGTAATTAATTATATTAATAATCAAGGAATAACTAATTGATGAATCTAATAACCTCGAGAAAATATAAAACTGTGTTATAAGAAGACTTTTTTTCTAGAAGATGTGAATAATCAAAATTCTAGGGGAAACTAGGATGAAGCAAGTAATTAATCCTTATATTAATAATCAAGAAATGAGTATAACTAATCGATGATCTCTAATCTAATAATCTCAAGAAAGTGTGAAATTGTGTTATAAGAAGATGTGAATAATCAAGATTCTAGGGGAAACTAGGAATTAATCCTTATAACAGTTACCGAGGAACGAATATAACTGAATTAAATTTCTCCTTTCCTTGTATCGAAATTAAGTACGACCCTAACTTATCTCAATATAATATCTATCTAGATGAAATGAAGATGGGAAGAAGAAAAAGAGATAAGAATCGTATCACTCACGTTTACACTCTTAACAACACAGGATCGAACGTCTTTTTTTCGCGCCTCCTTGTCTGTCGACATTGAACGCGTGAAGAGGAGAAACGAAATAAAAAAAAAAAAAGAAGAAGAAGAAAGAGTGGACGCCGTGAAATGGCGCGGAATCGATGTTACGCGAAATCGTGGTGGAGGAACCGTTATCTGGCAATTAGTATCTCGTTGGTAGAGGGCGGCAGGTGAGAGAGAGCGAGAAAGAGAGAGAGAGAAGGATCATTTTTCCTGCCATCGGCGGCAGGAAACAGCTGCCAACCATTTTCGATCGTCCCGTTCGGTTTCACTCAGAGAGATATCAACAATACGCGATAAATTAATAATTCAGCAGCTCTCAGCCTCTTAAGATCTTTCGATCTTTTGAATAATTTAACAACGTGGCCCAGAAATATGATGGCAGGAAAACTAGGAATGACTACAAAATCTTGGGTTAAGGATTTTGACTTAGCATTTTTACGTAAAATCGAAGAGGAAAATCAATTTTTACGTGGCTATCTTGAAGAAAGGTTTTTTAGTGAATTTAGGTTACGATGGCGCGACACTAGCGCCATTAGAGAGAGAGAACATTCATTAGTATTAGTATCCGTTTCTTCAGTTATTTATTCTTACTTTTATTTTTCTTTTCGACGAAAATTCTAATTTCTTATTCGTCGCACGAACGCGCGTCAATCATGGTGGTCGATAAAAAGGATAAAAATCGCGCGGCCTTGAAATAACGTATGCAAACTCGGTACACACGAAAGCTGGCTGCGAGCACGTAGCACGGCGTCCACGATGTCCGGGCTCGATAAGTGCGACAAATTGCGCGTAATTGTGTGCGTGCATCGGTCATTATCCGATCCCCGCCGATCGATCGTTTTCATCCACGCTCCTCGATAATTCCTAAAATAAAATTTAAACTGCCCGTCTCCTCGTCCAATCTCGAAACAGATTTACCATTCGAAAACCCGTCTCTGTTAAAACTCTGTTGAAGTAAATTGTTGAAAATATTCCACGTAAAACTGGACACCGGTTTCCCAACAAAAAAATATTTAATTTACTTTCACGATATAATATTCGAAATCTTTCGACCCGATTAATTCTTTTAGATTAAGACAAAAATTATCTTTTCTTTTCCTTAATTCGCGTAGTAATAAATCGTATTAGGGAAAAAAATTAATTTCATCCAAGCTATATTTCAAATCTAAAAATCTATATATATATATATAATAAATTGTATCAACATCCAGTAAACAGTATTAACAACATTATATATATAACAACAGTAAACAGAGTATTCCTCCCTCTCTCTCTCTCTCTCAATAATGTTATTCCTCCGATAAACGGTGGTGACAAATGCTGTGAAAACCGCGGCATCATAGGCGGTACGCCGTTATCGAAACGAGGTGCGCGCCACCGTTAAAAGGAGAAAAGAAAGAAAGAAAGAAAAAGGAGAGGGAAGGGGTGCCGAAAGCGAAAGAGAGGGACAGAGAGGCTTTGGTTCGAAAGGGTGGCTCTAATTTATCTCGCTTTAAAGTCCCCCGGCATGCGTAGGTAGGTGGGAATAGGAATAGGGAAATGGGGTTGCTCTTTGTCGGAGAGTCACCCTTTCTCGACTCCAATAGCGCGCGACACGTGTGCCCTCGCGACAAGTGGCGCG